TGCAGGCCATACAAATACTTCTCCCGGCTCGGGAATCGAACCTGGGACCTCTGCGTGGCAGTCCGGCTTGGCAACCGTTCGGCCACGGAGGCAGTTAAAGTACTAGATAAATTAATGTTATTATTCTACGAGTATATGTATAAATCCTCGTATATGACAAGATTTGTCATTCTATCAACAGTCGACATATTTTTGAAGAGGAAAGTATTTTTAGTTGAAACAAATTTGTCGCGCGAGGCCACTGTTTGATGCGCACGCGACGACGTCGGCTATTCTGTCTAGCATACATTCCGAATGCACGTTTACATAATTTGTTAATTTTATATGGGCATGTCATGCGATGCTAAGCGACCAAAGACATTCCATAATGTCTGACTTAGTATTTCCTTTGTAATTCTAATAACATTATTTATTAACTGTGTATCTAAAACAATATTTACAATCACTTAGGAACTGAAGATATTTTGGATTACGGATACAGACAACAAAACGTACCGTCGGCGAGAAAATTTAATTCAATGATTCAATTATTTTACGAAGCTTTAATAGAGCTGTAATATTGGCAGTCCAACTATTCACGTGATATCAAGTTAGAAAAGCTACATTTACAAAATGAGATCAGTCCTATATCACGTTGGCAGGCGTAGCGCGTGGTCGCACATAACTCCTAGGCGCGTGATCATGTGGAAAAGGCCCTGAATTTACGATCATTGAGTCACGTACGCCGAATCTGGTCAAGCAATTTCTAAATTAACGACTTCAGCGACTTCACGGCTGAGCATACACGTTATGTGAAGAAGTCCCGAGTTCGATTCCTAATCCAATTAGTGTTGTATTACATTAATCAAACAAGAGTAAATTATTTACAAAATTATTTACAAAATCTACGACTCTCGATTACCAGATAACCACTGTAATATTTTATAGATAATGCTCAAGCTTGTTTGAGGGTTAAATAGACATATAGACAGTAATTTTGCTAGTTACGTCACAAAAGTTAATTAATAAGCAGTTTAATAATAATAAAAATGGAAATATCTCCATTAATATAGAGATCAGTGGACAGTAACACATAAATGAAGAATACAGGGGACAAATACGGAACATACATTGACATAAATGTTCTGAATTTGCAGAGAACAGAGAAACATATGACTAAATAACACAGTAACAACTAACAGAAATGCCGGAGGTGAAGAATATAGCGTGTGGATCGTTCGAAAGAAAATTAATAAGAATGAATGAAAATTTAGGTGACGGAAAAGAAATGATAGAAAGACAGAATGCGTTATTGAAATTGATGGCAAGAAGATGGAGCTAGTAAAAGAGTACGTCATATTTAAGACGTATGTCTACAAGATATGGTAAAAGTGAGGAAGACATTGGATTAAATTGCAGTCAGATTGTATCTGTGAATGCAGGAATAAAAGTAATGATAGTCGTAATTATTAATACAAAGATCGAACACTCAGAAAAAACACTCAGAAAAAATTCCTTCGATCCGGTCGGATTCGAACCGACGTCTTCTTGCATACCGTGCCAGACGTTATACCAACTAAGCCACGGAACGAACCAACGGACCTCACGAATTTTTCTATGTGCTTGCGTCGTGTCTTTGTATTTGGTTTTTCAACGACTTTTTAGTCGTAGCGCCATCTATGAGAAATCTATGACAGATTTATCGCCCAGTTAGTACCTTTACAGCTACCAGTCCTGGCGAGAGATGTCGCTATTCACTGTATTAATTAAATTTTTATTGAATTGATATTCAATTATTTTTTGTGAAATGCCTCCACTAGTTTGTTATAGTTATTAATACAAAGATCGAACACTCAGAAAAAACACTCAGAAATCTCAGAGATATTTGCATTAATAATTATAACAAACTAGTGGAGTAATTTCACAAAAAATGATTGAATATCAATTCAATAAAAATTTAATTAATGATAGTTGTTTACACCAGAAGAAGTAAGAGCCTAAAATGAATGTAGTAGAAATGAGGGCCATCAGAAAATGACCTAATTTACTGACAGATATATGCGAGGAATACTGTGATCCTATAACTGCCTTTGTGGCCGAACGGTTATCATGCCGTACTGCCACGCAGATGTGCCAGGTTCGATTCCCGGGTCGGGAGAAATATTTGTATGGCCTACATTATTTCTCTCGTGAGTTTGGGTGTAATTTGTGGTTGTCTATGTGTGTGTCCATGGCACCCGCGACACAGGGTTTTCCTAGTGCGGGGCTATGTTGAATGTGTACGTTATTATTATTATTATTATTATCCTTAAACGAAGTGATTTGAAAGAGGACCTAGTAATAAATATAGAGTAAGGTTTTTGAGGAGGTTTGGGCATATACAGCGGATGAATGAAAGTATAGTGGCGTAACAGATAAATAGAGTCCAAATTGAAAAGAATATTCGGAGAGAACAACCGGGAGGGATGTTCTCAGAAATGAAGAATATTCTTCAAAATGATGAAAGAAAAAAGAAAGAGATGACATAAATCAGTCTCTGACCAAAGCAAAAGAAGCGGACATGATTCTTTTTAAAGAAAAGCTTCATTTCCTTAAAATGGAGGTACAGGCTTTTCAGTACCCCGTACTGGGTTGACAAAGAAAGTTGCAGTTAGAAAAATGTTCTCGTTTATGTCAAAAGACAGACAGGAAACGACCCCAGTTACATAACGATGCACGATTTTACGAGGCACTACGCGAATAACGCAAAGTGACATGAACAACTGTTTCAGAGCGACTTGCGTATAGTCCATTGCGCTTTGTAGAGTAATTATCTTTTATAGCAATAAGATAGCAAATTAAATAAGTGAACTGCTTCCCACTGACAGAAATTCAATAAGGAAGTAGTAAGCATTAAGTACCATAGGTAAGAAGTAACGTTTACTTCCGACGTGGGGTATTATTCGTTTGGCAAACAATAGAGCAAGCTGGGTATGCATATCCCACGTTTCGGCCGTTACAACCAAAATTTGATAGATAGAGGTTTGTCTCAAGTCACATGTGTAAATTTTTTTCAACAGAAATCACGTCAACGTGAGCGATTACCATTCTGGAGTGCCACTCAGGGGACCCGGGTTCGATTCCCGGGCCGGGAGAAATATTTGTGAGGCCTACATTCATTTCTCTCGTGAGTCTGGGTGTAATTTATGGTTGTCTGTTTGTGTCTCCATGGCAGTACAGGGTTTTCCTAATGACTGTGTGTTGTCATTATTATTATTATCACTCAGCCTGCTACTAGTTCTGTAAATAATATCTGGTGACATCGATCCAGTATTCTTTTAACACGTGACGAGGCGGCTAGTCGTGCGCCTGGTGGTAAGCGACATGCCTGTTCATAGCAGTTACCGTGCCACTCAGAGCAGAACATTGAAGGGCATTGCCACTGGTTCCGTCAGCCTGAGACATAGGTTGACAAGTCCCATGTGTGTGTAATTTCACCACCGCCCTTACCCTTCAAAACCGTAACACTGTAATGCTGACATTACTGCTTGGCGGCAGAAATAGACAACACTTCTCTACACGAGCTCTTTCACAAGAAGTTTTACTGCTACAAATTCTTCTATTAGATTAACGAACGTACGTCTGCCGACGTCGCCACACGGACAACCCGAGAAAATTTTAATAACAACGCGTACACCCTTATAACCTCTCACTAGAGAAACCCTGTATCGCGGGTGCCATGGACACACACATAGACAACCACAAACTACACCCAAATAAATATAGGCCATATAAATATTTCTGCCGGCCCGGGAATCGGACCTGGGACCTCTGTGTGGCAGTCATTGTAACCTTTCGGCCATGGAATCAATTAGTTTTAAAGAATGCAAGTTAAACTCCTATCCAAAGTAATTATATGAAATTAAGTCTAAAAACTAGTTTCAACTACTCCAGGTATACTGTACCGATTTTTTAAGAAACAGAAATGCTTAAACAGCGGCAGTGACATTATTTTTCATCTTTGGCTCTTAGTTTTATACACTTTTGGTTACGTTTTGAACTCAAAATCTCAATTATATTAATTTTATTTTATTTATTATATTAATAGACCGCGTGTTGTGTTAAAAGGCATCTTCCGCCGGTTAAATAATTTCCATAGTACTTTAAATCGTATTTTAATAAATCGCACATTGAAATCAATGCCGTTACTAAGCGAAAAAGTCGGGTAATGGTGCTCAACGAAATTAAGTATAAATTTGGAAATAAAAACTCTCTTTGATATTGTTCTTTCCTAGCTTAGGATTTTACCAATCAACTGCGAGGCAGGCTTTGCCTAGCGCAGGAATCGTAGGAAATTCTCGTGCGCGATGTACGCTACAAATGAGTTGTGTTTCCTGGTCCTATGTCATAATTTGAATTGTATTTTGAAAAAGCCACATTTTAATTTAGCATTTTTTTTTCATTTTCAGACATTAACTTACAATTATATGGACGTCGGGTCCGCGTTAAAAAGTGTCCGAACTTATAGGGCGTTAAAATCGTATACAGAGCGTCATTCACGAGTCAGTACTGCGATGACATTACAATTTAAATTCAACGTTTTAGCTTTTTCATATTCCTTTACATGTCACTACGTTTATATAGGTTGACTTGGGACATTTTTTTCGTGGTTTTTGTATTAGACCCGTCGTCCATTTATTTGTAAGTCAATGTTTTCACAGTATTGTTTTGAACGCGCAAAATGCAGGTCCTAAGTAAGCGTTTATAATTTAACAAATTGTTTCTTCGACTCTATAAGTGAGCAACAAGCACTTGGACCAACGCCGAAGAGGCCGCGAACTTCCTCCCCGCCTAAAGATATCCGTCCCGGTCGGTCCGGTGGTGCAACTGGGTCGTAGTGCGCTTATTGCACTACCGATTGACAAATAAACAAGTGTACATCGACAACTCACAATACCTGCCTACTGATTCACATAGCTAACAAGTGCTATATTTAAAATATATATATATGTAAACGAACAAAAAGATAAGATTCGTCTCACCTGAGTTAAGTCCGACGGGGTTGAATAACGAGCAGAGCACTTTAGAGGATACCGTTTACATTAGTTGATGTTTTTCATAACCGCGTAAGTTTCCCAACGCCGTGTCACTTTCGTACCGTTTCTAACTGGATCGTATTCACTTGTGGTTATTGTAACTCTATCAACACTGGCATATTGGTGCAAATCCACGTTACACAGGGAAGGTAATGGATACTAGTAACATTTCCCACTGTACGTTTCCTTACGATCTGAAAATCACGCACAATATTAATATCACAGCAAACACGACTCTAATCTTATACTAATTGAACCTCAAAATATCACAGAGTAATTACAGCACGGCCTATTGAACAATAAAGCCCGTCCGAATGACAGAAAATTAAAACAGACTAAAACTCACAAAAAGACCGCTATCTGTTGGCTCAAATTATCCGTGGTAAAAGATGGACGAGAAATAAACTTATATAAACTTACTTTAGTGCCAAAAAAAGTCAGGCGGTTACAAGATTACTGTCGTCAGAGGAAGCGAAAAGGAAGTTTTCTTTCGGGCAAACTTTTTGTCCCGGGAGTTTCGTAACAGGGCGAGTACCGGGCATAAGTCATTACACTAAAATCGGCCCAAATCTATAGTCGCGCTCTTTACCGCGTGGAACAACAGCACTTAGACTTTAAACAGTGCAACAATTTTCACTAAAGCGAAAAGGCAGCAAGACATTTCCACGCGGCCGGCCTTCGCTGCATTGTTATGCAATTGCAAAATCTCGCACCGACACCGGCTGCCAAATCACAAAACTAAAAACGATTTTCGAACACACGCAAGAAGTTCTTCGGAAAAACGTTAACCGGAAAAATCCTAACCTCCAAAAGAGAAAGTAAGAAAAACTTTTTTATAGTAAAATAATTGTGGGCGGTTACTCTGCGATATTTCGTCAAGTTCGCGTATCACGTTTTAGTTGATTACCAACTATGATTTATCGGGAGTGCGTTCGGGTGCGCTCGTTCGAGCGGTAGAGCGGCATAGGTACGTGTCCGACCCGGGCGGAATCTCGCGCGATACTGAGGCGACGTGCCTGCTCCGCTATCTGGACTCTGGAGCGGCTGATACAGTTTTCGTCTTCAAAAAAGCTCGATCTAACGCCGCCGCTTGTACCGTCTGTAGTAGAAACCAGTTGACAAACTTGCACATCCTTAAGCTGACTTTAAAAACTTTTGGTCTCATAAGGTAATTGGACCATTTGTTTTATTCACAACAGTAACCACGTCACTACAGAAGTGTTGTTTGTTTTCGCGTAATCAGTGTTAAATGATGATAAGCAAATTTCTATGCACCTCTGGCGAAACATTAATAGTGATATAATTCCATAACAATAGTATCAATATCCCCCGGGTTTGCTAGTTTTTTTTTTTTAAATGGAGTGGATTAAAACCCAATCCTTTTTTGTACAATACAAAATAACGGAGTGAACAATTCCCGTACCTGACGATAAGCGACACGCCTATCCCAAACAGTTGCAGTACCACTCAGAGCCTTGAGATCTGAGGGGCACTGCCACTGCCCCTGACACCCTGAGACATAAGTTGACAATTGTGCCTGTGATTTCACCAGCACGACACGATCACAGGTTCTTAAATTAAAGATGATTACTTACTAGCAATTGTTATACTACTGCTGGTATACCTACTATACTAGGCAGTAGTTATACTACTTTATTTTATACTAATTATTATTATTTGCGTTAGTGACGATTGTATTATTCCTTGACATTGTATTTTGAATTGTGACATTGATCATATGAAATAAAACGACTCATCCGTAGAACAAAGGTGCGAGACTACTTGTTCTCAGGACATAGTACATTTCGGTTGTTTTCTTCGCTGTGGATGTCAGATTGACCGTTGTTCAATTTTATATTTCCGAAACGAAATAAGATATATAAATTTTATATCATTTGAATAACGAAATTGTTCTCGTAACGTCCTTATTCTCTTTTCGCTATATAAACACATCGGACTCTGTTCTTCGGATGAGTCGAAATGATGCTATTTTTTACAATAAGATTCCGGAGCATAATTAAGATTACCATTTCCTAAGTATATAACTTATATTAAAAGTATTTTAGTTGAAAACTCATATTACAAACTACAAATGAAATAACAAAAACATGAGTCTAGATTCTGCACAAATGTGATTCACAATGTGTTTTATAGCATTTAAGTTTATTTGCAAAGAGCAAACCCTGGAGTTTCTTGCCAGTTCTTCTCAGGGAAGTCGGTCAGTGAACGAAGAGTAACTTAAATAATGACGTTTTCAAGTGTAAAAATTTTACCTATCAATGCCTTACTTACTCAAACACGTACCTTATAACGAGTGATATTTAGGAGATGGCAAAACTTTCTGTTTATTTTAAATTTATTATCAAGGGTGTTGATTTCGATACATTACTTTAAGAATAGTTAAAAGCCAATTTGTAAATATAAAGGAAAAGTGTTGTAAAATCAACCTGCAAAATTAGTATATATGCAATCTATTTTTTGGAATTTCGTTAACTTTGTTCTTTAAGGTACGAGTTTGAGAAACTAAGGCGACACTACGGAATAAATTATTAATTGACTTTGACTTTGACTTATTCTATTCTAATCAATTCTTCGGATACTTATTGTCATAGTATTATTTTATGTATTAATAATAAGCTTTTTTTAAGGTATACCATAGGTTCCCAAAGTTTTTGACTTTTTTGACCCACTTAGGCAAGATTAAAAAATATGAATGCCCGTGGGAGTTCAAGAAATAATTGACAACACGTATTTTTTATATTAACGTAACACAATAAAATTACAAAGAAATAAAATTGCATATCGACACTGGGAAGCAATCATGTCGTATGTCGAAAAATCGAACTTCTATTTACAGCATTTTCCTGTGTATTTTATCAGCAATCAACATTGAATAACAAAAATCGTCTTAGCACACGACTCATAGACCAAAGAACGCGGAATTATTTCTGATTCGAAATTTATAAAAAAAAAAGTCATTTTAATTATTAACACAAAGATCAAACACTCAGAAAATACAATACGCTTTATTTCTCTCAATAAGGTATAGTTACAGTGTATGAACACATTAAAGACACAATTTTAATTACTTAAAATTAAAAATAACAATAACAAGTGCCCTATTAAGAGCTGGAGTCTGTACTAGGATGGAAACCTGTGTTACAGGTCACCAGGCTCTCTTAGCGTAATAGAAAACGTGACATAAACTTAATATAAAAATACATTGACTTACAAATAAATGGACGACGGGTCTAATACAAAAACCACGAAAAAAATGTCCCAAGTCAACCTATTTAAACGTAGTGACATGTAAAGAATATGTAAAAGCTAAAACGTTCAATTTAAATTGTAATGTCATCGCAGTACTGTCTAATTTTGCTTGCTTCGCTGTCAGTCGAACAAACGAAGACTAAAGCGTGAATGACGCTCTGTGTACGATTTTAACGCCCTATAAATTCGGACACTTTTTAGCGTGGATTCGACGTCCATATAATTGTAAGTCAATGTAAAAATACAAATAAGTTAATAATAATAATAATAATACAAAAAAATCCTTCGATACAGCCGGATTCAAACCGACATCTTCTAGCATACCGTGCCAGACGCTATATCAAGTAAGTCATGGAACGAACCAGCGGGCCTCACGAATTTTTCTATGTGCTTGTTGTCGTGTTTTTGTATTTGGTTTTTCAACGACTTTTTAACCGTAGCGCCATCTATGAGAAATCGTTATATATCAGTTAGATATCTTTACAACTGCCAGCCCTGGCTAGAGATGTCGCAATCACTTTATTGTCAATTATGAATACGACAAGATTGCTTTCCAGGGTCGATATGTAGTGTAGTTTACATATATGTATAATCCAGGTTTTTTTGCGGTAGCACCCTCTGGACAGAATCAATTGCTTCCGAAGCCCCTACCCCCCTAGGACCTTTAGCGCCCACTGGGGGACGACAGGGGCCACTTTGGGAAACTATGTTGTATACCAATCCTGTCTGACACATCATTCTTTCGATTTACACTTTTTATTTATTATTCGTCATTATTGTAAGTAACAACGTACGTTTGCACGTCAGTATGCAAATATTGAATAAGTCAACACAGAGTTAGGTTTTCGCGGTTGCTACAATGAAATTATATTTTTGGATCCAAATCAGTCAACGAGTATAATCATTATAACGTATACATCGAGTATATAACCAGGAATAGAGACGAAATGTCATTTAATTTGTTTGTAAACTGTTCTGCCAAATCATTACGGTGACAACTGCGCTCCGATTGGCCAGCCAGAATTCGAAACAATTGACAGGTCGTCAACTTTCACTTCAAATCGACTGGTTTAACTTGAGGTTTGCTATAATGGACGAAAATTTAAAAATTACACATTGACTTACAATTATATGGACGTCGGGTCCACGCTAAAAAGTGTCCGAACTTATAGGGCGTTAAAATCGTATACAGAGCGTCATTCACGCTCTAGTCTTCGTTTGTTCGACTGACAGCGAAGCAAGCAAAATTAGACAGTACTGCGATGACATTACAATTTAAATTCAACGTTTTAGCTTTTTCATATTCCTTTACGTTTAAATAGGTTGACTTGGGACATTTTTTTCGTGGTTTTTGTATTAGACCCGTCGTCCATTTATTTGTAAGTCAATGAAATTACATAATTAATCATAATTACCGATGAAATGTGATGGCGTTTGTTTTGTAATTAGATGTTTTGCTGTTTTCCTCAGACCACCGAATGGAGCAGCGCTATAGACAGGTCAGTTGTATAGTTAGTATATGTATAGACAGGTCAGTTGTTGGCGCTGAACAATTTCAGCTATTTAGTTCGTGATTTCAACGCAAACGAGAGTTGATATTTAAAAGTGTCATGAGGTCCATTTACCTGATGAGTTGGCAGGGATGGATGTCCCTTATTTCGTCTCCATTTCCGGTTATATACTCGATAAAATCAGTCAACGATGATCATTGTCTGTAAAGAGCCCGAGACATAATAATTAAAAAAAAAAACAAGTATACGGATTTAGACCCGAAAATTAATTACTATTGAAAAGAAAAAGTACAGTAGTAGCTCGATGTCAAGCAATTAGCTGTTTATAACCTTTTATCTCAATTGGATTAGGATGAATTGAAATTTAAATGATGCGATTTAATATGATTTTTGCCGAAGATACATAAAAGAAGCTTCTTACTTAACATTGTCTTTGGATTTGATATCGTACGGAGAACGGGAATAGACCCCAGACTCGTACAAATTCTAAATATATAAGAACAAAATTGCGTATGCGCAGCAGTGACGATGGGTGATTTATTTGAAAGCAGGCTGACGTGGAAGGTGCGCAGCAAATTCTGCGACGCAAGACACTACTAAGTTGGAGGATAAATTTCTTCGCCAAAAGGATGTAAACCGCGTTTTATGGACACTTAGTCACTACTATATAGTAGAGTAAGAGGTAAGCACGACAAATAAATGCAAAAGTAATTTTACTTTGTATAAAACAAGGTTTCCAACTATTTTTAATAATAGATACGTAGTGCTTCGATGGTTTCTACCGCCAGTGGCGAGGCTTGAAAATTATCGTTTGTAATCATTGACTTACAATTATATGGACGTCGGGTCCGCGCTAAAAAGTGTCCGCACTTGTAAGGCGCTAAAATCGTATACAGAGCGCGACACTCCGCTTTAGTCTTCATTTGTTCGACTGACAGCGCGATACTGCGATGACATTACAATTTAAATTTCGAATAGGTTGACTTGGGACATTTTTTTCGTGGTTTTTGTATTAGACCCGTCGTCCATTTATTTGTAAGTCAATGTTTGTAATACAAAAAAACACCTACCTTAAGAAAAAGTGACGCCTTGACGACACTTTAACACAAATTGTTTCACATAAGGTATACTTCGTTTCACTGGTTAACTTATTTTACACATAAAATTTAGCGCAAAATGTAGTATTTATAATACGTTGAAAATTATAG